TACAATTTTCATATATTGCTAGGATATACGATTCTTGATTAAGTTACTGCAGAGCTTACGAAAAAAATTTACATATTAAAAATCTTAAGTTACTCCCTTGGTAAATTAGTCATAAAAATAACTTGAGAAATTTGATATCTTCTTGTATTTCAAAAGTTATGGTTTGATTACCATTATGTTTAGTAAGGGAAATCATAAACTTTTAAGTATGGGTGTTAGCGAACAGAGCTTTCGACAAACTACTCGTGTTCGTGTTCGTGTTCGGTAAGTGTTCGTTTATGTTCGTTTGTTAATTTAGACCTTGGTTAATAAACGAACAGAGCTTGAACAGTTGTAAGTTTTTTTGCTAAGAGATCGTGAACAAGCTCGTTTGTGTTCGTTTATTAATGTTCGTGAACAAGCTCGGTTATGTTCGTTTAATAATGTGAGCAGACAAATTATGTGGGCTTGGATTTTTATTTTGATATTAGATGCTACGATTGGATTTATTAACTTATTTGTATTAGTTTTGTAGTTGTGTTGTTTGTTTGATTATTGTTTGTGAACGTAGATTATTTATTGTTCACGAACGAATTGTGATCATGAACATATGCAGGTGTTTGTTTATTAAATGTTCATGAACGTGTTCATCAACGTAACAGAATATGTTCGTGAACGTGCTTGTTAATGAACATGTTTGTGAATGTGTTTTGTTAACGTTAACGAACACGTTCGTGAACGTGTTCACGAACGTTAACAAACACGTTCACGAACATGTTCGTTAACGTTAATGAACACTAATAAACGCTTAACAAACGAACACGAATAGGATTTTCAAAAACCTTAACAAACGAACACGAACACGAAAGCTCCAAATTTCTTAACAAACGAACACGAACAACCTTTGTTCGCTTATGTTCAGTTCGTTAACAGCCTTACTTTTAAGATCATGTGTTTCAAACTTTTATGATGGTGTGTTTTACATGCTTGAAGACGATGATCAAGTGTTCTCTTGTTTGTACTGCGTTACAGGTTTCTTATATAAGACTCACGTTACTAACAAGTCATACGAAATTTATTGAATTCCTTTTTGGAATTGAAGAACAATGAAATAGAATGCCAGGAAGTTTAAAATAATGTTGCAAAAGTGGTTTCAATATAAGAAAGTGAATAAAATGTGAATTTCCTACTTTACACCTACAATTTTAAATATTTTTTAATTTTCCGTCAGTTTTAACGGTCGTGGACTAAATGCGCCACTTCGCTCATAACTGAGGAACTAAAAATGGGTACGGTCATAACTCAGGGACTAAGTCGTCACAACCATTATAAATCCATGACCAAACTCACCATTTTCTCTTTTTTAATTATATATATATATATATATATATATATATATATATATAGTCGCGTTCAGGTGCGAATAAGTGCCCAGGAGAGAAATGCGAACCAATCATCGCGCACCACATGTCAGCATTCATTGATTGGGTGCACCTACTTTCACCTACAAGTGCACCTACTTTTGCCTGCAAGTGCATGTAATTTTGTCTTGTTAACATTCATTGATCTGAGTTCGTTCTGTTTGGCATCGTTTACCACCCGTAAACATTCATGCACCTAGGTGCAACTACTTATAACTATAGATGCAACTACTTATAACTATATCTGCACTTAGTATTGATGCTCAGTGTAAATTTTACTTGCACCTATAATACATTTTACTTGCACTTCGATATTCAATTATTTACGAAAATGCCATCGCGTTTTTTAAAAAAATTAGTGTTTCTCATCCATTGGATATGACACGTGGACGGATATCAGGCATTCGCATATTCGCACCTGGGCGCTCCATTCGCACCAGAGTGCAATTATATATATATATATATATATATATATATATATATATATATATATATATATATATATTATTCATTCTATCAACGGAAAAAAGCTCTACTTTACCGAGAATATCTTCTTAATTTTTTAATTGGAAGACATTATCATAATTCTTAATTTTTTTAATAATTTTGTAGTTAATTAATTTAATTATAATAAATGATATTTTTAATTTTTAATAAATAAAAACAGTTGTTTTAAAAAATAAAATAAAAATGACACTTGTCAACACCGCATCGATTTAACCTGATAAACAAGTTAAATTGGACTTAATTGAACAATTTTACCAGTTTAGGAGACTTGAATGAAACTTTTTTTTTCATTTAGGGGAGTCAATTGCACTATCCACTTGACTTAGAGGGCTAATTTGACACTTTTTTTAAATGATATTTTCTAGATTATTATTATTACCACAACTACTATCACCAAAACCAACCAGGCAACAACTGCCACCACTACCAAAACCAACAACTACCACCACCAAAGCACCACGAGCAACACCATTGCTACCACACCACCACCACAACTACCACTACTAAATCACTACCACACCACTACCACTAACGCCAACATCAACACCAACACCACCACCAGCATCACAACATATTATTATTTTTTTTTTTTTTTCATGCCAAACAAGGTTCTATACAGATAAGGGCCATATGGCCTTACAGATTAAAGCAAAATGGCCATTTGGCCTTACAACAAAATAAAGCTACAGAGGCTACAAGCCAAGACTAAACACAAACCATTAACCAAGGCCGCAACCCTGATCTACTTCCGGATTGCTTACCAAGTATGGCTTCCCCCACCTCCATTCATAGCACCCTCCATTCTTGTCTTTCATGTCTGTGCATCATTGGTTCATCCCTTCCTATCATCTTGCCATTGGTCTAGTGTTTCTTGCCTCATTCCAGCAAACCCATCATGCTTATAAGAAGGTCATGAGCAATGCCCCTAGATGAGTCACCCTATGCGAACCCTACGCCCCCACCCCTAAAGCGCGAGGTCAACCCCCCCGCACGGCAAACCGTGTTTTAGCCGGAGGGGTCACTTATGCCCCCACTAAAGGCAATGGGACCCACCCTTAGTCCACAAGATGATACCCCTTATTGATACCAAAGTACTTGCATAAGGGGATCATTTGACCTTGTGAGCTAAGCAATGGTAGCCTAGAGCCTCTACCCTTAGGGTGCGAGCCAGCTCAACCCCGTACAGATCTCTGCATTTTTACCGGGGCAAGCTTATGTAGTTCAACACCCTAAGCAATAGAGAAGCTCCACCACCAAACCATCAATCCATCACCCTAAGCAAGCACTCATTTTCCTTTTCATTCTCATTTTCATTTTCATTCCAGCAATTCTATGCCTTCTTTTTCCTTTTTCTTGTTTTAAATCCAACCAAACTGCCATACCCAGCATCCACACAGAGATCACATCCATGGGCATTGCAGTCCTCTTATTTTACAATCATAGAACTACCAACAGACTTCAAACCCCCAAAAGACATAGCCAGGAACCCCCATCCTTGGCTCACAAGATGGAACCCCTTGTTGGTACAGCTGCACTTTCACAAGGGGACCATTTAGTCCCATGAACCAAGCAATGGAGCCCAAGGATGAACCAATGATGTCTAGACCTGCAAGCCAAGTAAAACCAACAAACATTCCACAAACCAAAGGGGAAGCCACACTTACCAAGCAAGCCTTGGCAGATCAGGGCTTTAACTTCAGCATCAGGTCAGTCTGTAGCCTTCCTCAAGCTTCTGCAACTCCAGCTCTAGTTCATATCCTGTAGAAACCCTCAGGTGATTTTCTGCAGAATGCTGGAAGTCCTCAGCTGCTCCATATCAAGCACCATCATCAGGCAGCCAATCTGCAGCATCGGCATCAGAACTTGGAGCCTCCTTCCAAGCAGCCCCTTTTCTGCAGCCCATCAGAGACCATCAAAGTGCAGTAGTTCCACCAGGGTCCCATTGTCTCCTTGCTCGAGGCAACACGCTAATCACATCAATCCCAGGAAGCATTATGAAATGAGGAATGCCCTCAAGGGCAAGGGTCAGCTGTAGTGCCTTTGGTAGGGCTTCAGCTTTTAGAAAAACTAAGTTTTGCCCTCTGCACTTTTCCAATATCCAATGTGCAACACAGTTAACCTTAGGATTACACATCAGCCATGCCACTGTGAGCTCACTTGGTTGCCTTTCTCTCTCCTCCATCAAGTTGAAATCAGACTCCACTTGGATTTTTGCTATCCTCTTCCTTGTGCACCAACTCCAACAGTCCTCTAGAACCTGCCTCAATGTGTTACCAGGTCCTGTGTAGTTTCCAGCAAGAACAAACTCACCCTGAAAATTCCTTAAGTAAAAACTGCAACCTTCCCCTTCAACAGCTATGTTAGCTTTCACCCATCCACTAGGAGGCTTATTCCAACTCAGGCTTCTCACCACTCTTGTGCACCCAAAACCCCTTGCTCTTTTCAAAATGTAGTTCCAATTTGGGGGAAAAGGGTCCCATGCCGGCCACCTCCTCATAACACAATCAGCAATGCCTTTGGCAATTTTGGAGATGACTCTAGCTTCTGAAACTTTCCCATCCCCATATTTGCAGTGATTCATATGCACCCACAGTTCCCAAAGAATTAGTATTGGCAACCTATCTGACATGTACTTTACCAGTCTATTTTTATGCTTTTTGGCCCACCAGTCAAAGCACACCTGCCTTATCCCTCCAAGCTGTATTCTTATTCCTAGAGAATTAGCAAAATAGTTCCACACCCTGCTTGCAGTTTCCCCTTTGCAAAAAACATGCTGCAAACTTGCAAATCCAGGTTGTATACAGCAAGAGCATCTTGATGCTATTTGAAAGCCAAAATTAATCAGCTTATCATCAGTTGGAACCTTTCCCTTGAACACCCTCCATGCCATGAATGATGCTTTCCAAGGAACATGCTTAGCCCAAACTTTCTTGAACCAAAACTGGTTCCTGAGGTTCTCAGTTGCCTGGGATCTGATCCACCTCTTTGCAGAGGCTAAAGTGAAGGTCCCATCTCTGTCTGGCTTCCACCTTGCTTTGTCCTCTTTATTCTCCCTCAAGCTTACTCCCCTTAAATCCCTCTGAAGATTTTCATTCATATTTCCCATCCTCCATCCCGCCTCTTCCCAGAAGTCACACAGCCTTTCTCGAGCTTGTGCCTTCCCCTTATGTTGTAGAGCAAGGCCACAGCCCCCTTCCCTGTCCAGTTGTCCCACCAAAAGTTCACCTCCCCCCTACCAATATCCCAGACAATCTCTTTTTCTACCCTCTCCCTTGCTTCTAGCATCCTCTTCCATATGTGGGAATCCCCATTCTGCCAAGACTTACTCACAGGGTGGACTTTCTGACAGTATTTTGATTTCAGAAAGTCACCCCAGAGTGACTTCTCAGTTCTAAACCTCCACCACAGCTTGATGCCAGAAGCCTCCACAATTTCACCCAATCTTGTGAACCCCACACCACCCTCCTCTATTGGCTTGGCCAGGTTTTGCCAAGAGCTCCAGTGATACTTAGCCTTTCCATCAATCCTTCCCCAGAAGAAATCAGCTAACATTCTCTCCAGCTTTGTCACCACTGCCTTTGGAGGGTTCACTACATAAAAAACATGAGAAGGCACAGCCTGCAAAACAGCTTTTGTTAGTACAGACTTGCCCCTTGGGACAAGTGCCTATTCAACCAACCTTTACACTTGATAGAGAATTTTGTTATAAGGTTGGTGAACAGATCAATCCTTTTCCTTCCCACATAGATAGGACAACCTAAATATGTGAAAGGAAATTCTTTATTGTTAAAGCGAGTCAGCCTTTTCACTCTCCTCACAGCTTCCTCTCTTATTTTTGGGTGCATATAGAAAGCACTCTTTTCTCTACTCACCAATTGGCCTGATTGGCTCTCATAGTCCCTAATTGCTTCCATGGTCATTTCAAGTGTTTTGCCTTTCCCAGAAGTGAATATGACCATGTCATCAGCAAATGCTAAGTGATGGATTTGGGGGCCCTCTCTTGGCTGAGAGAATGAGGCCCCATTTTTCGCTATCAGTTTGGCCAAAAGATCAGCTGCAATGATAAAGAGGTTGGGTGATAAAGGATCACCCTGCCTCAAACCTCTAGTGGCATGAAAGAAACCTCTTTGATTGCCATTCACAACCACAGAATACCATATATTATTCACTGTTCTATCAACTAAGCGAATCCAAGTGTCATAGAATCCCAACCTCTTAAGCACATTTTTCACACAGGACCATGACATTCTATCATATGCTTTCATCATATCAAGCTTTAAAACCACATCTTGATTAGAGACTGAGATTCCATGACACATCTCCTGTGCAAGCAAGATATTGTCAGTAATATTTCTATTCTTGACAAATCCTGCCTGCCAGGGGGAAATAACTCTTGCCAACACATCTGCAAGTCTTTGAACCAGAAGTTTTGTGATGACCTTACTGCAATAGTTACTCAGACTGATGGGTCTAAATTCTGCAAAGCATGCTGGATTAGAGACCTTAGGAATGAGAACTATTGCAGTATGGGTTATAGCTTTTGTTAGTGTTTTCCCAGTAAAGAAATCTTGTATCAACTTACAGAGATCAGCTTTGATTATGTCCCAGCAGCTTTGGTAAAAGCCTCCCCCAAATCCATCTGGGCCTGCTGCACTTGAAGTACTCATGCTAAACGCACTACTCCTTATTTCCCCTTCTGAGGGGATAGCTATGAGTTTAGCATTTTCCTCATCTGTAACCATTTCCTGCAAACAATCATAAACTAGGGGGTTAGCTTGAATTTCCTCTTCAGAGTACAACCTCTGGAAGAAGTGAACAGCCATTTCATCTATTCTCTCCTGTTCAGACTCCCATTGCCCTCCATCCCCTCTTATTTTGTGAATGAACTGTTTCCTCCTCCTCTCTCTCACAATCCCATGAAAATATTTAGAGTTTCTCTCTCCATCCACCACCCATTGAGAGTGTGCTTTTTGTTGCCAAAACCCCTCCTCTATCCTAACTTGTTTTTGCAATTCAGCTTGTGCTTTTTTATACTCCAACATATTCCCCTCACTCACACAGCCCTGTAAAACCTCCTCACACACCCTCACCCTCTCCTCCAACAACTTGACTTTTTCAAATATGTTTCCAAACACTTCCCAGTTCCAATTTTTCAACACTCTTTTTGTCTTTTTTAACTTTGTGGCAAATCTGTACATTGAGTTTCCCACCACCTCTTCACTCCACACTTTTTTTACAATTCCCAAGAACTGTTCATGCTCACACCACACATTCAAGAATGAGAATTGCTTCCTTCCTATCCTTATGTGCGGCTCAATAGCCACCAAAAGAGGGGAGTGGTCTGAGGTGCTTTTAGACAGATGGTGCACATGTGTTTGAGCTGCTGTTTCCCACTTATCATTGACCACACATCTGTCCAGTCTCACCCAAATGGCTTGGTCCCCTGATCTCCCATTCCACCAAGTGAAGTTATTCCCATAGAAGTTTACTTCTCTCAGCTCAGCATGATCCAGGCAGACTTGGAATTCTCTGCTCTTATTTAGGTCATAGGCATTCCCCCCTTTCTTTTCTTCTGGCCTTAAGATGCAGTTGAAGTCCCCCATGACTGCCCACATATTCTCCTCATAATCCTCAGCTATTCTTCCTATATTTTCCCAAAGCTCCTGCCTCAATCTTCTATTGCAACTTGCATACACAAATGAAATGAATGCATCTGTGTTGAATTCAGCCATTTCCATTTTTATTGTTATCATCTGCTCGCTCATGTTTTCAACTTGCACCTTTGTTCCACTGTCCCAAAGGATCCAAATATTTTCATTTCCTGCACATCTATTGCCTCCCCAACCAATTTTAAAGGCAAGCTCTTTGATTTTGTCAGTTTCCCTGAATGGCTCTAAGATGCAGACCACTCTTGGTTTATGTAACCTCACCAAGTTTTTTAATCTGTGAAGGGAGCCTTGGGAACTCACTCCCCTCACATTCCAACAAATGATCTTCATAGGGCTTTCTTGTGAGAAGAGCAGCCACTCTTCCCCAGCAACCCTGGAACCTCAATCCCTCTTGCCCTGGCCTTTTTTTCTGCTTTGGTCAACCTTCTACCAGGAGAACCATTCATAGCATTTATTATTTTTTGATTCTCTTCCTTTATCTCTTCCTTCCTTATTTCCCCTTCTTCAGACTCAAGTTCCTCACTCAACTCCTCAGAGGACACATAATCAGGATCCTTCTCCTTTTGTTTATTTCTCAGAGGTCCAGGATCAATCTCTTCCTTTCCAATATCACACTCCCCATCAATGTCCCTGAGAGTATGGAAGGTATTATGTATTTTAACTCCTTCCTCCAAACCATTGTCAGGTTTTTTCTGCAACCTTCCTCCCTTTTTGTTCACAGCCCACTCAGATTTTTCTTTTCCCTCACCATCAAGTCTTTTTTCATTATTTTCTGAGACTCTTTTCTCCCTCATATCTTCCCTTTCCCTCCTTTTCCCCCTTTCTTCTGCTTGCTTACTAGACTCAGTGAAGCTCTGATTCATAGCTTCTCTTTTCCCAGATTGTGCAGCAACAGAAGTGTTAGTCTGGTTTTGTTTGTTCTCATTGCTTAGGCCTAGAGTCTGTCCCCTCTTTCCCTTACTGTTACTTCTTTTTCTGTTTGCACTTAAACTTCTTGTAGTGCTTCTCCCTCTATTCACGGTAGAGGGTTCAGATTCTCTTCCTGATGTACCTGCATTGTTAGTTACAATCCCTAGTCTACAAATTTCTGCAGGGTGCCCTTGTTTGTAACAAGTAGTGCAGTAGTGGGGTACTCTCTCATAGACAACTTTTTGCACATACCCCACATCTTCTTTACCTGGACTTCTAGAGAATCCTATAAAGAACTCACTAACCAGGGGTTTCAGGAGATCAATTTCCAGTTTCACCCTAGCATAACTTGGCCTGGTAAAGTTTATGGTTGCATGATCTGCAGCCAAAAACTTACCAACAGGCTTGCAAATCTGTTTCAGAACTGCCAAATTAAACAAGTTGGCACTTAGCATTGGCAGTCTGATCCAGACTGGGGCTAAACTTGTCTCTCTTTCAGTAGAGAAACCAAGTGCCCATCTGAACAGTCTCATGGGGAACTTCCCATTGAACAAGACTTGGTCCAACATTAAAATCTTTATGCAATCCTCCTCATGTGAGAAGGCTAAAGTGACATGTCTAGAGTCTATCCATCCTATAGTAAGAGTTCCTTTCAAGATGAATTTAGACTCAAAGTGTTTTCTGATTTCATGAAGAGGGGGCCTGCCCTTAGAACTTTTCCCAATCAAAAGATGTTTATCTATTTCATTCAAATGTTGCACTTCAGTTTCCTCAAGCCTTATGGCTGGCAGGCCCCTATGAAACTCAGCCTCATTATCACAAATTTCAGGCTGGGGAATGTAGTTGAAAACGCTATCATCTCCTTTGCTATTGCCATTGACAAAATGAGATGCATAGCTTTGCATTCCCTGCCTATTCTGACTTGTACCAGAAATGTTGGTTGGTCCAGGCTTAGAGCCTCCCAAACCAGCATTTCCAGTAGCTCTTTTGGGAGCAGAGCTGCCTGGAGCCATATTTGTGTGAACTGTCTTTGAGACATTTTCACAAACAGGTTTCAGGCAGCTATCCTTGTTTGTATTTTTCCCATCATTTAGGTCAGAATTCATACCTGTGGCATCTTTGTCTTTCATCCATGGAGGGTTTGGGAAGTCCTCATTCCGCTCCCTTGATTCCGTGGCTCTCATCCCCTGAGATTCCAGCTCTATTGGTCTTTTGATGCCAATTTCTACTTCGTTGAATGTCACTGCCTTCGCCGGAGGGTTTTGACAGAGATTTCCCTCCTTAAACTTCGAGATCGGTTTCTCTCCGATCACAACTGGGTCCGAGACTGCAATCTCTACTGCAGATTTTACTGGAATCTTCTCCGAGCCTCTTTCTGGCTCCTCCTCCGATTTTTCATTCGTTACAGCGTCAACAGCTCTCATGTCTGCGATTAACAACCCCTTGTACTTGTTTTTCAATTTTTCCAGAACTTTTCTCTCGAGATTGTAATTTCCCACAATCTTCTTTTGGAACACCTTTGTCGCCTCTTCTAAGAAGCGATCAGCCAGTAGATCTTCCATCACCTCCTGATTATCAGCAGCTTTCTCCATAATTGCATCCAATTCCTCAATGTCAAATATTACCTCATATTCCCCAATTCTCAGTGGAATTTTTCCAGATTTTGACTCATCCGAGGCCTCCGATTGAGTCATCGAGATGCTTAGCTCTCGTCCAGGGGTTGATTTCAGCTCCAGTCTCTCAGAATTCATCGAGACATCATCATCGGAGCTCAATTCTCGATTTATAACTTCCTTCTCCCCCGCGATCGGCATAGTCCCTCGACTATTCTCTGGATTTTCCCCATCGCGATTCCTCACTGGAGACGCCTCCGATTGTTTCTTCAGATTTGGAGTCTCCCTGTCAAGACGAGCAAGAGACTCGGTTTTGATCTTCTCCGGCGACGTAACCGTCGCTGGATCACCGCCGGCCAGCGGCGCCGCCGGTGGTGCAGGTTGCAGGGATGGCAGTTGAATTATGATTGCAGATGTTGGTTGATGGACTGGAATTGAAGTTTGCACCATACCCAGTGGAATTTCACATTAGGAACGAAAAGAATTTATACGTGAGTGTGAGGCCATTTTCGGTTCTTTACTTAAAGAAACGACGCCATTTTCGGATCATCACAACATATTATTATTATTATTATTATTATTATTATTATTATTATTATTATTATTATTATTATTATTATTATAACAAATAATATGTTAATTTTCTGGAAAATAACTAAACAGAAAAATACAAATTTTTTTAACTTTTAGTTAAACCGAAAAAGATAATTTTTAAACATTCAGCCAAACACTAGAAAATTAAAATATTTTTTGAAAAATAAGTCATTTTTTACAAAATATTTTCTAGATTTTCAAACGGACCCTTAACCTACTTCATTTAAGGACCCCCATTGTATCTATAGTTAGGTACAGTAAAGTTCACATTTGACAAAAATAAATACAAAAGAATTCTTTTTTATATTTTACTTTTAAAAAAAATATTTTCACATTTGAATAGACACAATTTTATGAGTAACCCTTGGGATGTTAGAGTGCTTCACGTGCTGCAGGAACAAAACATGACTACCGATTCTATGGCTAAAGTGGCTAGAACGTGTACTGGAATGATTAGTGACATCCACATCCCCCTGACTAGTGTTAATAATTTCATTGATGAGGTTCGCCTCGGCCGTACCTGGCAGAGATGGTCCGGCGAGAGGAACCTGTAATTTAGGTCATGGGGCCTTTCCCACTCCTTCCTGATTCAAAAAAAAAAAAAAAAATGAAGGTCAATACTGTGCTAATTTGAATACACAAATATATAGTGTTCTTTGTTCGGCTTGAGTGACAAAGAAATCTCTGTTTGCTCCTATAGTTATTTAGATCCTAAGTTACAACAATTCGATTTACATCAGGGGTATTTCTTCTATCAAGAAATGGTATACTGCTAAAAAAACATTGTTTTTATTATATAATACATATAAGTTGCATGCTAGTTTGTATTATCTTGTGCTCAACAATTAAGACATATAAGCTTAGTGGGTTTTTTTTTTTTTTTTTTTTTGCTTCACTTCATTAGTTCTCGAGCATGTATGGTTTGAACGGGATACTAAAAGGATTTTTTTTTTTTTTTGGATGACAAGAGAAACCTGTCACCATTTTTATGTGTCTATGCAGGCCTTAGGCCATTGCTACTATTATCTCTCACAAAAGTGAAAATGTTGAAGTAGCTGCAAATGGTTTTGTAGATCTACAACTAACCCAATACTCTTCGTGAAAATGCCGCTCTTAAAATCTCCTACCCTAGAAAGAGTTGTGGATCTACTAGTTTGTATAGTATCATGTGATCCTGTCCAACTAAAACTTTGAGGTTTCCTCTGGCCTGCGGTAATTGCTTGTTGTACCTTTTTGGGCATTACATTGTCATCATCGTTATCATTGTTGTGGTTGTTGCATCTTCTGTAAAAAAAGAATACATAATTATAATTTAATATTTTATTGCCAGCATTTATCATATTTTTAAAATTAATAATAATATAATAAAAAGAATACTTAGGCTTTGGACTTGGTGCCGATTCCCCTTATGAGGTGTTTGGTTAGATGTAATTGAAATTCTTTTTCTATCAAATTCAATGGCAATACAAATTACAATGTTTAATTGGAGGGAATTACAATTCCATCCTTTTGTTGAATTGCGACATGTAATATATTTAAATAATTAAATTATTTTTTTAATTATTGATTGTCATGGCCAGGGCGGAGGCAAGTGTATGCCTTGGGGGGCCTTCGCCCCCCACCACCCCACCTCTAATTTTTAAAAAAGAGTTAATTCCAGCAACGGTCCTCTGACTATATTAATTTTTCAAAATTAGTCATCGACTTTTAATTTGGACACTTTACGTTCTTTGACTTTCAATTTCTTTTCAATTGAGGTCCTTTCGTCATATTACGGTAAATTGGACTTTAAATGAAAGGGTAACATAGTCATTTCATATGCCTAATGTATAATTCTTCATATTTTTCCCTTGTATGCACGACTCCGGACATCAGATATTCAGATTCACTTAATTGCTTAATCCCTAAATCCACTCGAAGAGCAAAATTCCATTAGGGATTAAGCAATTAAGTGAATCTGATGTCCGAAGTCACGTACACAAGGAAGAAATACAAAGAATTATACATTAGGCAGATGAAATGATTACTTTACCCTCTCATTTAAAGTCCACTTTATCGTAATCTAATGAAAGGACCTCAATTGAAAATAAATTGAAAGTCAAGGGACGTAAAGTGTCCAAATTAAAAGTTGGGGACTTATTTTGGAAAATCATTATAGTCGGAAGACCATTGCTGGAATTAACTCAAAATTAAATATATTATATATAATATTAA